AACAAAGATTGATTACCTAGGAGGAGATAGGTACAAAGATAGCAGATGAATAACGAACTATCTGCCCTCATAAAACTTAAAGTCTATCAGGAAAAATAAGCATGTAAATTCCTATAAAACAATATCAAAATCACTGTTATAAAAGGCTAGACAGAGAGCTATACTAATAAGAGGGCATATTTAAAAATAAGGTAAGTTATATCTGTATAATATATTCTAAATATACAGTACCCTCTTGCAGATGATTTCATTTTATTCTTAGATTAAACCACCCTCTAAGAGAGCACATTGTCTAAAGCACATTACCAACCCCATTTCAGATGGGGCTCAGTAAGGTTCAGTGATCCAGACCCACACAGCTAGTAAGAGTCAATGATAAATCTCAACTCTGGACTTCTGATTGTTGGACTATTGCCTTTTTCAGTATTCAGTACAGACTTGATATAGCATATTTCAGGGCCCTGTCCTTTCTGCCCCACTGGCATGTAATTTTCTTACTAGTACCGAAATCTAAATTTCTGTTGTTTAAGCCACCCAGTCTGTGGCATTTTCTTATGGCAGCCCTAGCAAACTAATGCAGTCCCTTAACAATGGAGTGGCCTTTGATAAATTTGCTAAGATTTTCTCCCTAGTTAAATGGGGTTAATAATACCACATATGATTGTAGAGTCTTAACATGAAAATGTCTACCACATTACCTGGCAGAAAATAGGCATGCCATCCCTATCCTTAAAGAAACCCAGAAACACAGTGGAGTGGGCTTCAAAGCCAAAGGGAAGTCCCTAACCTGCTGCTCTGCAGCCCTGGGGACGTGGTGCCTGGGATCTGTCAGCAATATCTGGCTCACCTTCTGCACTGATCTCTCATCTTGGTAAATAAAGGCCAGGAGTTAAGAAAATAAAGTGGCTCCTCCACACAGCAGGTTCTACATTTCCCTTTCTTCGTGCGTAATCCTGGTTATTTGATCTTTGCCTTGGGGAAAGTTGACACATGCAACCCAAAGCTGACACAGAGAGTTCTTTGTCACTGGTGAGCGCAGGTGCATGCCTTTCCCACATTTCTCTGCTCAGGCTCCAGGGATCCCCCGAGGTTTGGCTCCAGCTTGGAGTTGCCACCAAGCCTTTAATTCTCATTTCCCCATGATGACCAGAAGATGGCACCTGCATTTCATACTTAAACAGTGACTAGCGATTTTAAAAGGAAGTCTTGAATGAGTCAGTACTGCTGTCGCCTTCATGTGAACCACTGTGTATTCCAGGTCTCTACATCCAAGGGAAGACTATATTTGTGGTCCTTCATTCTCAGGCCACAGCATTTTGCCACCTAGGCAGCACGATGTGACTGACCACTTTAGGAAAGTTTCTTACCCCCAGCCCCAAACTCCACCGTTGATGATTCCTTCTCTTATGCCAAACACATGTGTAGTGCTTACTGTATCCCCAACAAGGTTCTATGCACTTTGCATGTATTTATTTAATTCCCAGAAAAAATCTATATGGACTAGGTATTATTCTCATTTTACAAGGGGAGAGACTGAGGCACAGCAAAACTGAATAAGTTAAGGTCAAATTGAGATTATTATGTCTTTGAGAGTCCCAGTTAAAAATGGAAGTATCCCAGTGATGGTAGTCTATTAAGTCATAATCAGCTATTAATATAAAATGCAAATCGATTTATGAGATGTGTTTTAGCCCATAGCTTATTATAGAATCTACTGAATGAGGGGAGGGACCCAAGACTGATTATAGTTGTCATGATAAGAGGAAAAGAAAGAGGAGTGGGAGAAAATGCTACCAAGGCCTTGATAAGTTGTGTAAGAGAAGACTAAGAAGTCAGGATGTGTGCTCAAGGAAGGGAGGTCAGCCTCCTAAAAGAAAAAGAGAAGATGACAACCCAGGAGAGTGTACCAATGGAAGAGAAAGGGGCTCATTCAGATAAACTTTGCTTATTTTCGATTTTGGCCTAGAATAAATTCTTCCTAAAAAAAAATCTTCAGTCCTTTAACTAAAATGTAAGCCCTAGTTTGTATCTTTCTTAAAGCAGTTTTAACTTATCAAGTATTTAGTGAGCTATTTTAACCATGGTGTAAAACTATGAGGACACTCCATAGCTCCCTCTTCTCTACCCCTGCCCCGTACTAATATGGAAAGTATCACATAAATTGTCATTATAGTTTATGTCACTAAATCGTGAGCTTCTATGCACAAAATGTTCTGGCTATCACATATAAAGCCCTCATATTATAAAATGAGACTGACAGACTGTGTTTATTGGACAACTGAGAAAGCATTGGTCTATTAAGAAGCCACACATACTGCTGGAATAACTGTATATCTACGTGGAAAGGGTGAACCTTGACCCCCTACTTCACACCATAGGTAAAAATTAACTTGAGATGGATCTTAGATCTAAACATAAAAGCGAAGCCATAAAACTTTTAGATGAAAAGAGGAAAATACCTTTGTGACTTGGAAATAGGCAAAAGTTTCTTAAGTCTGTCACAGATACTATAAAAGAAAAAAAATTGGTAAGTTAGACTTTGTGAAAATTAAGAAATTCAGCTCACCAAAATATGCAAGTGAAAAAATTAATAGACAGTCTCAGGTGGGGATATATCAAAAACTATATCTGACAAAAGACCAGCATCCAGAATATATAAACAACTTAGCAGTCTCAGGTGGGGATATATCAAAAACTGTATCTGACAAAAGATCAGCATCCAGAATATATAAACAACTTCTACAGCTCAACAATTAAAAGAAAAATAAAGGGAAAAAAAGAATGGTAAAAAAATTGAACAGATACTTCTCAAAAAAGATATTCAAATGGCGAATAAGTACATGACAAACTGCTCAACATCGTTGGTCATCAGAAAAACACAAATTAAAACACTATGAGATATCTTTACACATCCACTAGAATGGCTAAAATTAAAAAGACTGATAGCACCAAATTTTGGATAGGATGTGAAACAACCAGAACTCATACTTGGTCGATGGGAAGATGTAATGGAACGACCTCTTAGGAAAAAGATCTGGAAGTTTCTTACAAAACTAAATGTAAACCTACCATATAATAAAGCAGTTTCACTCCTTGGTATTTAACTAAGAGAAATTAAAATAAATGTCCACTAAAAGACTTGTATAAGAATGCCCATAACAGTTTTATTCATAATAACCAAAAACTGGAAACCGCCTGCTTATCCATCAATTGGAAAATGGATAAACAAACTATAGTATATTCACACAATGGAATATTATACATTGATTAAAAAACAAAGTACTGATACATACAAAAACATGGGTGAATTTCAAAACCAAAATGCTAAGTAAAAGAACCTCACACACAAGATTACATATTGCATGGCTTATATGAAGCTCTAGAACAGGCAAATTTAATCTGTGGTAGAAAAAAAATAATTTAACTGTTGCCTCTGGGAAGATAGGGGCAGGGATTGAAGGGGACAGTGCATGAAGAACTTCCTGGGGTGCTGATAATTTTCTGTACCTTGATAGGAGTATGGGTTATGTGCATACATTTGTCAAAACCCAACTAGGTTACAGTTAAGAGTTGTGCACTTTAATGGACATAAATAAAATGAAACCCTAGTTAATGATATGCATACTGAGTATTTAGGGGATGTATATAAATATTTGCAGTTGGAATTTGTCAAAATATAAGATGTATTGATGAGAGGGTAGAGTGACAGATTGGTGAATAGATGCGCGATAAGCAAGTATAGTGAAATATTAGTGGTAGAATCTAGAGGGTGGATATACTTATTATAATTTTCCTTCAGTATAATATGTTTGAAAGTTTCCATGATAAAAAGATTTATGATAAAAAAATTAAAGAACCTATTAATAATTAGGCTCTTGATATAGGTTTTTCAAGGTCCTGTTGACATAAATCTCTTTGGTGCTTGGGGCAAATAATTTCTTCCAGCATAAAAACTCTAAAAGTACTATTTTCTAATGGGATAGATATCACCTCATCCCTGAAAGGGATATGAAGCTTAAATGGACAAATTTCTGAGGGCTCATGCTTTTATTGAGATTTTTTTGTGACATTAACAGAAATGTTTTATTTCTCTTTCTGGAGGAGTCCTTCTAAACTCTGCCCTCTGCCCTCTCTTCCCCCAACATCTTCCTCTGTATAGGAATCTTCCTGCCATCCTGGACTGGGTAAAAACTCAGAAGCCTGGAGTCATGGGTGTCAACATCATCACATCTGACTTCGTGGACCTGGTGGACTTTGCCACAACTGTCATCGAATTGAATGACCTCCTACAGGAGGATAGAGCTTTGGCTAAATGCTGATTTAATTTTTATTTAACTCAGTGTTGAATTTGTTGCTCCAGGCTAGAGTTCTGAAGAGTTTCTGTTATGATGGTCCCTAGGCAATGATGGTGAAGTGAGTAAGAGGAGGAGGGTTTTTTTTTTTTTACCTCCTCAGAGCCATTTGGACAAAATTACAGACCTTGTAATTGCATTTTTCCCAAATGAGACTTTTGAAAATCTTAAGTCCCAGGGGAAAAAAGCATGTTTCATGTGATCAAGGTTAGAATCTCCCCAGTGGCTTATGATATTGAATGCAATATGGCAATGGGGTCTCCAAGTTCCTTTGGGGTACTGAGTATTCCCCTAATTGACCTAGTTCCCTGTTGTCTTCCAGGATGTTGTGTTTGAGTCAGTGAGAAGACTGAACCAGAAAGGCATTCCGGGTCAAAAGAATGGCTCATTGCAGGTGCTGCCCTTCGGGGTGGCTCAACATCAATCTGGGGCTTTGAGGGGATAAAGGATCAAGCACCAGTTCTCCCTAGACATGTCGAATGTCACTTCTTCCCTGAGAGAGTAAGACATTTATCACCAAGGTATTTCAGTCACAAGCTGTTCTTGCATAGCTCGTGCTTTGTAACTGATCGACTTCATTTTTTAGGTAAACAGTGCATACCGCCCTTGGTGTCAGAAATGTGTTTCCCAGTTTTAAAGCATTGATTCCTTTCTATTTATTTTGGCTCCTTCTTAAAAGTGGAAGGAGCAATGATGAGAGTTCTTTGCAGTGTGAGGCCCAACAAGAAATAGACATGCATGTTTGTTGCACGCCAGATTTTTTATTATTCTGTAGCTTTTCCCAAAATAGCTGCCAGGTAAGCACCTTCATCATTTTGGCAAAGTCCTCTTTGGAGTTGGATCTTCAAGCCAGATCTTGGAATTGCATCTTGTCGTTGTCTTCCTGGAACTCAGGTCTATGCTCTGGGACACAAAGCTAATGGAAGGAACCTTGTCGTGACACCAGGGAGGCAGACACAGGATGCACGGGAAAGTGCAATGGATTTAAGGAGGATGCTCCAAGTGGATTTGGAGCCATTCTGTAACTCCTTGAAAACAAGACTACCTCGGGGACATTTAGGATGACTCGCATGTCATCAAGTGAGAAATGCCCAGTGTTGGAACATTTTCAGTTTGTGTCTTGATTGTTCTCCTTTCTTCAGGTTGTTTAGAGACTAATAATCTCCACTGCATGAGGGCTTTGAAACTCAAGAAGGGATTTTTATTATTATTATTTATAAGAGGTGCCTATCTGTGACGAGCCCTCTTATGTTTCTATTTATTTATTCACTTATTTATTTATAGATTTAGTATCTTCAGTGCTCCTTACCTCAAGAGCACTCACAAAGGAGCTTCCTGAACTTTTCTCAGCAGGCCCGATGCTGCCATGGTCTTCCTCCCGCACCAGGACCATGCCTCTCAGGACTGTGAGTGACCTCTGACTCTGCTATAGACATCCTGGTTCCCCCAGTCATGTGGGGGACGGTGTTCATGTGTGGGTCGGTGTTCATGTGTGGGTGTGGTCCAGATCTGAGAAGCCACGCACTGGGACAGAAAATGAAATAGGTCATAAAGAACTTTCAGTTCTTGAGGAAGACCCTCTATAAGAGAGTTGAAAAGAAAAGGAGCTAGAAAGAAAACTGGGTATGGGAATGCTCCTCAGAACTGTGAGAATCCCTAAGGAAGTGTCAGCTTCTGGATTCTTAAGGAAGAAAGATAAACATGGAATCCTGGATGGATGTGCGCATGTATAAAGATCTTTGGACCACCTCCCAGCAGCTTCCCATTTCTATTTTTCGATGTTCATAGCTGGACTTGCATGTCACCTGCAGTGGGGGATAGCCTAAGGGAGATACTAAAAGCACATGCACACTCTCAACTCTTGGTCTTCCAGCCTTTACTCTGTAAAGTAATTTAAGCCCTGGCCTTTTGCTTCCACAATTGAGGAGGTCACAACACAAACACTTCTGGAAAAATCTGGTTTAACTTTTCATTTTCTTGCATTTGAACCACTCTCCAAAAGGGTTTCTGGGATTTTATTTTCAAATTATTTTCGAATTATTTAGCGCCTTCTCTAGAAAGGAATAAGAAAGTGAGTGCCCTCACTTTCCCAATTTTCCTTCAGTTCTGATATTAAACCAGTGATAAGCTCTGAAATCCCTGGCTTACCCTCAGGGTTTTATTTGTTGTTATTGTTTCATGTTGGTCTTATTTTTAATTCTTGGTCAACTGCTAGGGACTAGATGGGTTCCCCTCTTCAAATCTTAATTACTTGGCAAAGAGATAAGGAGGCAAGAGGGGAATTACTCTTCTCTGTTTTATTTGAGCCTCAGCTTTGTCCAGGTGCTCGGTGCTATGAGGCCAGGTGTGTGACAGACATCTACACAGGATGCCAGTGACACCCAAGGGCTGCTGACTGTTCAGTGAAATGTTTACTTGATTTTCTCCTTTAGTTTTAAAATATATAGTTGCACTTGGGTTGTACCATTTAAGTGCACCTCAGTGTTTGCATGATAGGTCATTGATCATGACAGACAAAGCACTGAAAATGGTACCAAGGTTGCATGCATGGAGTCCTGCTCTCTGTGGTGAGTGCAGATGCTCACTCCTTCATGCTGCTTTGGGTTGACAGTCTGGCTTGCATTTTGAAATTCTCTGCAGGAGTTCTGGGAGATAGAAGGAGGATTATTTACAGTTCACCGTTGGTAAACACCCTGGAATTGGCAGAATCCCTGCCCCAAGAAAAAGTTGTTCAACATATTGCAAGGGATATGTGTGTTCTGCTCCTTGTCCTAAAGCCAAACAAAGAGAGTCAGTGATGGGACAGGCAAAATTGACTTCAGTTCCATGACACAGTCTACAACTGCCAACAATAAAAAGGGTGACTCAACTATATCACTTATTCTCACAAATTCTGGGGACCTTTCAGATCAAACAAGGCTATCATCTTTGCTCAGAGTTAACCTCAAGATCATCTAAAAATGTACTTGCTTGAGCCAAAGAGGGCATTAGGATTTGGGGCCACAGTTACACTGAAAAGTTGACTGAGTTTTCATGTGCTCCCTGGATCATTTGCCACCTGGCCACATTTCCATGGCATGGTGGCAAAGGGGACCATCACGGGTTTCGGTTAGATTAGAACAGTGTTTAAAGGCTTGAATGTGGAGCCTATTAGAGGTACCACTGTAGTTTCTTGGGTACAGAAGACATTCTTAGGATTGGAGAGGTCAAGATAGAATTGATAGAATAATAAATTATTGAGGATTAAATTTTAAATTAATGGCAGATATAAATGGGTCATGCCAAAGAAAATATTATATATTTGTTGTACTGGACTTTAGTTATTAAATTTAGTTATTTTCCTTAGTGCTGAGTCCAGACCTTGAATTCTTGAGAACAGTTAAGTCACAGTCCAAAACCAAGATTTTATATAAACTCAAAGGAAAGCACATGATCTGAGCCCAGGTAATGATCATTCTTAAGAATCTTAGTTCTTTCATGACCTCATATTCACATCACAAAGTTTATGTTTCTATTCAAGAAGATAATGTGGTGGAGCATTCTAGAATTAAACACATTTTGTGGTGTGACTGGATTTTCTGTTTCGGTTTTTCTGAATCTTACCATAAGAAAAGTGCTTCCCACAGAGATGTTATTCCAACCCAGCTAGAAGGCTTAGTGCAAAGCTAAAGGTGGGGAAACAGAAGAGATGAGAACTGAAATGAAACTGCCTGTCTTCCTGGGAAGCAAAAGGGCTATACAAATCCAGACCATATGACAGAATTAGTTCATATCACAGTTGAAGTTTTGTAATGTTCTTTATTGGCTGACTGCAGATTTTTACTGTTAGATTCTGGGAAACAGAACGAGCTAAAGAATGGGGCACAGCCATGAGACTCCCATCCCATGACTGAGCAAGGAAGTGATCCTATGCTAAATCTGAGTTGGTTCTTTCAACTGGAATAAAGATGCCATCTGCTACCTTAATGCTGTTTTACAAATCTTGGTTAACTAGCTCCCCAAAATATCAGGTCCCTAATGATAAGGCTAAATGCCTTATGTTAAGGGGCTTTGCAGTTGTAATGTGTCCATGTGTCGCATGTGTGCAGAAGTGCTACTTGGGTTCATTTCTCTAAGTAGAAGTGGTATGGGATGGCAGAACTTGTCCAACGGTGGCATCTTTAGTGATGCATATAACGAGATGAGGAAGGCTGAAAAAATCTTCCAACCGTATGTGCGCTCCTGAGAGATGGGCTTTCCCAAACACACTCCAAATAGTCATGTTATGACACAAGCTAACGAATAGAAATTGATAACATCAGACTCCAAATTAACAGGAAGTTTGATTTGTATGACACAGAACATGGTTGTTCCTCTAAATTCCACTAACTTCCCAGTACAGCTTGGCCCTCTGCTCAGACTGCTTCCTGATATTTGCCACCATGGCTTTGTCACTTGTAAGTGTTGCCTTGAGACACACCGGAGTGAACTGGTTGGGTGACAGCTGATTAGCTGGAAACTTTACCCTTAATTCCAAGTGATACTGAACAGCTTTTTACTGCCCCCAAGGGATCCACTATCTCTTTATCCTCTGGATTCCCCAACTTCTTACTAGAAATAGTGACAAGTCACTGTATTGCTGAATTGGTCCTCACCCAGAGAACACAGTACACAATGCTATTGATGTTACTGAAATAGCACAATCTTAGACACTGAAAATACTCTAAGACAACTCTTTGTATCCTGCAGTAGATATAATGTTCTAGTCTTAGGACTTTTTAAATTCATTTCTAAGCCACATAGTTTGGGTGAAATATTTTTCTTCTGATTACTAGGAATTCAATTCCATAGTTTATTGAGGTAACCCTATTAATAGTCTGGAGACATTTTTGATCTCATTCCTTCTCATCTCCTACATAGAATACCACTTTCTCCTCTTGTCTCCTGGCCATCCTGTAACATCTGCTGATCATTATTAATCACAGGATGCTGGCAAAACTTATAAAAGGAACATATATTCGACGATGCCCAAACGCACTCTTATCACAGTGGTTTTTGCTTCTCAGTCTTCTCAAATGCATTATTCTGCCCCTTTCCTCACTCCCACCCAATCACTAGAACTGTACCTGATGGGAGCCCAGAATTCGGGGCCAGTACTTCATTCAAATAGCAGGGGCTTGCTCACAAGCTTTGAGCCCAACAAGAAGCACAGCACTTTGAAAAGTCGAATAGGCCTTTGGTAGCTTTGTACATTTGCAGTTTTACAAGTTACTAGTTTATAGCACTAATAACACTTCAATTGTGAATCTATAATATCAATATGATAAATACTAGTACATATTCCAGAGACAGTGGTACTTTGCTGCTATTATACTTAATAATCTACACCCCAGTTGATAAGTATTACATACAGATTGTGTATGTATTGTTGTATTGTGTATGCATATATGTGTTGTGTATATGCCAACTTTCATACTTAATCTCACTGATCAGCAGTTAGAAAATACAGTAGTCCCCCCTTATCAATGGGGGATATGTTCTAAGACCCCTAGTGGATGCCTGAAACCGCAGATAGTACCAAACACTATACATATTGTGTTTTTTTCCTGTACATGCATACCTTTTCACTTAAAGGAAGCACTTTACAGCTTCTCTTTAGCATATCTAAATTGCCAGCATTGCTACTGTTGTGCTTTTGGGTCATTATTAAGAAAAATAAAGAGTTATTTGAACACAAGCACTGGGACATGGTGACAGTCAATCTGATAACCTAGATGGCTACTAGGTGACTAAATGGCGGGGGAGCGGGTACAGCATGTATGTATGCTGGAATCAGCTATGTCCTGGGAGGGAGGGAGCGGCATGGAGGAGATTTCATCACGTTACTCAGAACGGTGCTCATATTGAAACTTATGAATTGTCTTTCCGGGTTTTACGTTTAATATTTTTGAACTGTGGTTGACTGTGGATTATTGAAACTGAAGAAAGTGAAACCTCAGATAAGAGAGGACTACTGTACAGATATTGTCATAGTGAAAATAAGTCTTGGTCAGTTCAGATGATGAGTGAATCTGAAAATAATCTACTAGATATTATATTTTATCCTCTTGCTTGTTTTATATTACAGTGCATGCTGTTTGCTAAATTAAGTAAAAATAATAATAAATTATACCAATTCTAAGATTAGAATTAAAATTTTGCATATATGCTGCTTGATACTCTGAAATGTATTTTGTGGCATAATTATCCTATATTCATATACATTTCACTTGACATTTTTCCCCCACCTGATTATACTGCTTAATTGAAACTAAAACATTGTAAAGCCAGATTACCTCATTTTAACTGTGAAAACGTTCAATAGACATGACATGATGTCTTTTCTTGTATTTGATTTGAACTACCTACATAAGCTTAAACCTAATAATAAATATAAAACTTCAGCAGGCACTTTGTATGCATGTTTTATTACTGGGCCACTTTTAATTTTGTTTTAAAAAGTTATAGACTTGACATCAACAAAATACTTTATTATTACTCTATTGGATGAAGACCCTTTCAGCCTGTCGAGCACATATTGGAATCAGCTGAACACTCCCGCAATCCCCATGGAGAGCCATGCGTGAAATGTGCACACAGCCTCATCACTTGGCCTTTTATAAACTTCATCCTCAGCTGTTTCTAGTAAGCTTAGGCCAGGTCCCGCTAACCGTGTTCTCACCTGACCCCCATCTCCAGCCCACATTACTGTAAGTGGCTGCCAAACGCCCAGAAATAGAACACTGCGGAGAGATTATATGTTTATGTGTATGAAGAACAAATAAGTGTGGGTCTACAGCTTCTGTTGGCAAAGAAGACTCCAATATTTTCCTCATTCTTAATTCTTTATAATAGAATATCTTAATTTCAACGAATTTCTCTTTTTGTCCTATCTTCGACAAAAGTAATGTGTTGAGGTGAAAAAACTATGTATGAATTTAGCAGAGATCAAATCAATTCTAAGCAATCATTCATTTCATATAGTTTAGTGTTAGAACAGGTAATCAGGGGTAATTATATTTCTGTTCAAGTTCCTGTAGCAATCGAAGAACATAGTCATAGTCGGAATTTCCCGCGTGCACTTTGTTATCGTTTAGTTATAACCCGCATAGCGTAATTGCAAAGATTCTACTGATCTGCCTCAATTTCTGAACATGTACTTAGGTTGAGATATTGCCTCTATGACAATGGAGCTGTTACATCATGTATGAACTCTTTAATATCTTATCACCAATTAGTTTATCATGTTACAACTGGGTTATAAACATCCTACTTAGCACAAGAGTTAAGAACAGGCATTTCAGAGATGCACTGACCTGGCTTTGTATCCCAGTTCTCTCATACCCTGCCTGTGCGACCTTAGGCAAATTAATATCTCAAAATATAGGATATAGGACTAATAATGGCCACTATGAAGGGTTATTTAGAAGTCTAAATAAGAAAGCATATGGAAAGTGTTTAGCACAGATCCTGGGAAATATAAATATTCAAGAGTATTAGTTTTGGTAGTAGGGTGGGAACTTTGTACCTACCCCTGCCAAATAGCACCCAACACTTTCTTCAACATGGTTGATTGCTAACCATTGTATTCATTGGTGAATGATTTAGCAGGGACTGATTACAGTAATGAGAGATAAAACAGATAAATTCAGACAATGAAAGAGAAAGTTACACAATCACTGGACCAAATATACATTGCCCAGAGAGTGGGATTCATGCCACTGGTGGTATGCGAAATGATGTGGGGTGGAAGACGGCCACATCCTTGAATAGTATTAATATCTTTAATCATGTAATTATTCTGATTAGCTGAAAGAAAAGTCTTAGCTTAATGACGAAAACTCTCTACCCTTTATTTATCTAGCAAAAACAAAAAAGGCAATAGTATCCAGCTAACATTTATTATCATTTTGTTTATGTTATATTTATTTTGTGGTTACCTTCTCTTTGTAGAAGTGATCCTGGGTTTTTCAACAGTGGTACAAAATTTCCTTTCAAATGAAATTTAAGTTTTCTAAAGAGTCCTCTGTGAAGAAGCTATGGAAGTAACCTCAGTTTAGAATCCTTTCCAGGTTGAAAAAAAAAAAAAATGCAGTTGATTCTATCACACACTTTTGCCAAGAATTGAGTTTGGCTGTGCTCTTTTTGAACATTTAACCAAATAATAAATACATAAACTGCTATTTGAAATAGAAAATCACCTCTTTTTTAATATAAGTTTCTTTATATTTTCTGTAGACGTCCTATGGAGAGCATGTTCTCTCCATTGTCATATGCTGCAGTTTAAACAAGGAGCCAGAGTCACTCAGTCCCACAGACCTCTGTGCAGGGTTCACATGGAATGCAGAGAGCAAACTCCATTTCTTCAGTTTGGAAAGTGATTCCTTTTCTGTGAACCCCTGGAGCTAATAGTCCTGAATGTCCTGGATTTTTGTTGTGTGTGTGTGTTTTTTCCCCCAAAGGAATTCTTCTTGCTCAGAAGTATGTTTCTTTGCCCTTCCCTTTGCAAATCTGCTCACTATGACCAAAGGAGTGTTATTATTTTTAAGACTTGAAAACTTTTTTTTTTTTTTTTCTAGAGAGGGTGAGAGGTTGCAAGGGAGGGACAGTGGCCAAAGCCCATGTGCCTGAAACCTCATCCAGGATGGCCTGGACGAGTGCCAGTTAAACAAAAGTGCTAGTTAGACCAGGGTGTTTGCACAGCTGGGCAGTGTTTTGGGATAGCATGGGTGGGGAAGAGGACATAGAAGTGTCAGCCTCTGTCCAGTAGCATCATGAAATTGAGAGAATCCTTAGGTAAGCAGATGACTTTAATCTAAGGGGCCTGGTGTCTAAAGAATAGAATTTATTCTGTGGAGAAAGGCTCTAAGGAACAGAGCTCTTATTGCAAAAGGAGGCCACTGAAAGCTGTTCTTTGTTTAACCCAAGAACTTCTCAGCTTTTTGGACTGAAGACTTTTCTGCCCTGATCCTCACTGGGTGTTTATCCAATCTGGGCCCAGGGAGTCTCATTTCCAGGCCTCTGTGAAGTATAAGGGGATCTAGAAGAAGATGTTAGATTGCCTTTTGCAAAGGTTTCTTCCACCAACAACACTGTAAGTGTAGAACTAATTTGCCATACAGCAGAGGGATCAGTGGACAACTTCATTGGAGCCAGACACCCCGAATGACATGCAAAATTTGTGCACTTTTTTCCTGGTAGAGGATCCATAACTTCATTGAATTCTCAAAAGAATCTATGATCCTAAAATGCTGTAAACCATTGCCTTTTAAGTGCCTCTTAGAATGAACGATCATTTAAATGTTTGTAAGTGAGCAAAGATTCAAATTTAGACTAGCGCTAAAAAGCCTTGGTCCTTCTTATTTAAAAAAAAAAACTACACTAAGACATATGAATTTATTGATTATAGGTGCTCTCTATTAAGAGGCAAGGTTGGATAGAACAAGCTAAAAAGAAACAGACTAAGGTAAGTCCAAAGAATCCTGAGAGACAGTTAGATGGGCTTTAGCAAGATAGGGTGTTGAGAAAGCCAGAGAAACCAAGCACGCAAGCAGGCACGGAGGGACGGCTGAGCCCTATGCACAGATCTGAGCACACATGTTAGAGGAAAATGGGTACAGTAGAGCAGCAATTTCCAACCTTTTTGGCACCAGGGACCAGTGCTCCTATGACAATCTAGTGCCTGATGATCTGAGGTGGAGCTGAGGCGGTAACAGTCTGCGGCCCAGGTGTTGGGGACTCCTGCAGTAGAGCTTTCCTAGAGAAGAGCAACTAAGAGAGTGAAGGGTCCAGAAGTTATGTCACATGAGAAAGTAGGGATGTTGAGTTTGGAAAAGATGAGAAACAAGTGACAGGAATATCTTCAAATACTTTTAAATTGTTACATGACTGAGATTTTAGAATCTTACGATTTTAGATGTAGAAGGGACCCAAAAACACGTGTCTAGGCACTAATGTTACAGGAGAGAATACTGAAAACCAGACTGACTGGCCTAAGGCAGAGCTGAGACTAGAATCCAGACACTGAGTCCTTTTCCAGTGTCCTTTCCAATATTTTTTAAATGCCTCCATGAGTGCCTAGTATGCTGAAAAGAGCTAGGACCCACAAGTTGCCATTTCAAGAAGGGGGAGCTTGGCTTAATAAAGAGCATTCCTATGTGGATTGGGATGCTACGCGAGAGAATGAGCTGATAATCACGAAGATTTTTGAGAGAGTATGTATTAATTTCCTATTGACGCTGTAACGAATTTAGTACAAACTGTGTGGCTTACAACAACACAAGTATTACCTTTCAAATCTAAAGTCAAAAGTCTAAACTGGGCCAGCAGGACCATGTTCCTTCTGGAGTCTCTAGAGGAAATTCCATTTCCTTGCCTTTTTAGCTTCTTGAAGCCACCTTCCTTTGCTCATGGCCCCTTCTTCCATCTTCAAAGCCAGTAGCACAGCACCTCCAGCTCTGCTTCTGTCATCACATCTTCTTTGATTTGGACCTCTCTAGAAGACTCTTAGGATACATTGGGCCCACCTGGATAATCCAGGATAATCTCCCATCTCAAAATCCTTAACTTGGTCACATCTGCAAAGCCCCTTTTACCATGTAAGGTGACATATTCACAGATTCTGGGGATTAGGACATCGACATCTTTGGGGGCTTTTATTCATCCTACCATAGTGTGAATCATGCAAAGTACATTGACACTGATACTGGTTTTAAAGAAGACTTGAGTTCAAATCCTGTCTTCAGCACCTACTTGCTGCATGACCATTATCGCTTTGAGCTTTTGTTTTCTCATCCATAAAATGGGCATAAAATCTCAAAGTTATTATGAGATTATATAGAATGCCCAACATATTTTGTGCGTTCTCAATAAATATATTTGTTCAAGGAACTTCCAGATGATTCCAGACAAGAATTCAATAGAAGAAATTTTATTCTTAAATAGATTTGATAAAGTGATCTCTACTTGCTAAAATAAAAAGAAGTGAAATAAAAGGGATTTTCTTCTCCTGTGTACTTGTCTACTTTACAGATCCAATTGTAAGGTTATTGTTTTTGTGGATAGTTAGTAGCTAATAAACCCTGCTTTTTGCGCGCGTGTGCGCGCGCACACACACACACACACACACACGCACGCACACACACCCTGCACACAGTACTGCTGTCTAGTTTTGTCACCAAGATCTCTGGTTGGGTTTGAGCAAGACTAAGATCCTGGCCTGATGTGTAATGATTGGCCAGACTAGGCAGCTGAGACCAGCTCAGGCTCCCTCCTTCACATCTGTCAACATACCTGGCTGCAAGCAAGTTACTGCCTGTTACCACTATCTGCAGGGGCCAGAGAGAGAGAGAGAGCAGAAAAGGAAACAGAGGGGAATACCTCAATCTCCTGCTTAGGGAAAAGTAAAAGCC